GCTCATGCGGGAGATTCTACCGGCAGATGCTGCCATAATGAAACGCCATATCATGGATTATCAAGGATTATTTCTGAAACAGTATGGAGCTCAAAGGCTTTCTCTCTTGCCGGTTATACCACAAGGTGAATTCCTTTTTATTTCCTGCTTCTTTACACATGCTCTCTCCAGTACAGGTTAGCTCTGAGTGTTAGCGATGCTAATGTAAACACCGACCATATTACGTCCAAAACAGTCGGGCATTGTTTCTGATAGCAACGTTTCTGATAGTGCTGTGGGTCTGCATTTCCAATATTGCGTCATATTGGACGCAAATCTGGATCAGCTCCGTTGTAGCACCGGGGACACATATTTATGTATAAAAGACATACAAAAGTGAATTTTGCATGATAGGTCCCCTTTAGGTGGTTTGCCAACCGCCAATAAACACTATGCTACTTTTCCACCAAACCGGTTCCGGTTCAAGAACCACTCTTGTGCTTTTCTGGTGCTTAACTGGTTCTTCTCTGGTTCTGCCCCTTTTCCACCAAACCGGTTCCAGGGCTGGTTTCGGGCTACAGCCTGATTTAGCTCTGGTTCTTCCTGTTACAGCCGCAGCAGAGCCGGCTCTATACACCGAAAACCGGTTCTTAGCTGACCCCGCTTACGTCGGAGGGGGCGGGATCAACCTGAGTTAACAGTTCATGGCGAGTATGGCAAATAAAAGTTGTAACAAGCAGTAGCGCTGAGCAAAGTGACGTTATAAAGTCAGGCAACCAGGCTTCGTGTGATTCTGTTTATTTGTACCTTACTTTGACCATCCGTTCGCTGTTATTGATCATTGTGGAGAGCAGGCAGACGTTTTGTTTTGTATTATAGCAGCTATCGGATGGAATCAATACATGGGCTGCACAGGTTGTCATGTCCAACTATCACAAGTAGAATCATAATGAAAAATACACCGGTAAAATATGCCTGTAGAAAACGGCTTAGGTACCACTTTACAATAAGACTACCCTTAAAGGGTTTACGAATAGTTTGGAATTAATTTATTAATTAGGTTGTGAACACTTTATAAATCATTAATAAGCTTTTATAAGACATGAGATAAACAGGTCAACTGTGACCGGTTGCTTGCCAAATAGTGAGCCCACATTTATCTGCACTGCTAAGCCTTATATTGGCTACTTAGCTTACTTCGTCTTCTTCATCAGCAAGCTTCCTTCGTATCTGTTGTTCACTGACTTGATTCTCCCCCTTCCATCTTGATGTTTCTTGGCATCTCTTATGACCATTTATGAATGCGTTACAACCATTTATAATTGGTAAAAGGGAACCTTATTTTAAAGTGTGAAACACATCACCATCTATTAACGAGTCACTAACATTTATAACTGTTATAAATATATATCTGAAAGGGTGCGTTTTTTAAAAGTGTAATACATATGTCCATTTATGAATGAGTTATAACATTCTCGCCTACCTAATACACATTTTTCACATGAAATGCAAAGAAAGATGTAAAAGAGCCAAGCAAAACATTTTATTCACAGATGAAGAAAATCAGGACTCAAAGTAATGACTGTTTAGTATGACTGATACACATATTTAAACATAAAAGCTTTTCTCAGACATAAATTAAAGACTTGGTAAAAAATAATGCTACTCAGACTGGAAAGGCTTTGTGTATATCCTTGAACAAGCGTCCGAGCAGTCCACCAGGGTGAGCAGAGCCATGATGAACATTCAAGAACCTTGAGGTGTTCCTCCAACAAACTCTCTGTACGGTTTCCTCTCAGTCATACGGACATGTCCTTTGATTTTCTCCTCATTTAATACTTTTTGCCTCATTCTGAAAGAAAGAAGTGAAATGTGCCAACGTGACGGCCGTCTTGGTGTGTGGTGCGAGATGGGAGATGTAGTTCATTGAGCGGTTTCACACCAAAAAAAGTGTTACTTCACAGTTTTATGACACATTTTTATTTTTTTGACTTAATAATTTTTCCAATCCCATGGAGTTCCACCGGAAAAGGAGGGACTTCGGCTCTCTATGACGTGTTCTCCGTTGCCACAGTAACCATCTGTACACAACATTTGAGAGAAAGTTCGGCCGTCGAAACCATAGACGGTATCCACACTGACACTTTTATCCGGATGTTTTTCAACTGCAAGTAACAAGGTATACGGTATATTATACCAGGAGCCTGTCAGCACAAAGTATTTTTATAATGCTGAGAAGAAAAAAAAACACATTTCTAATGTCCGTTTGATACCAAGATAACAGTTAAAGGTGGGGTAGATACTTTTGGAGAAACCAGCTCGAGTGCGCTAGAATTTGAAAATATACAACCGGAAAAAATCTGCCACTTCCTTACAGAGCCCCTTGTCAGGGTTGAGCGAAGCAGGCAGAACCCAAACGCAGATTTCACAGAAAAAACACCTTTATTCCAAGGTCAAATGGAAACAAAACAGAACTCTTCCCCGTGAACACAGTCAAGACACACAAGGAACTAACAAAGACAGACAGAAAAACCAGAACTTAAATACACACAAGACTAATCAAAGAAACAAGAGACAGGTGAGGAGCGAGGAGAAAACACAGGGGCACAAGGTGAACACAATCGGATAATCAGACAGGAGGGAACACAGACAGAAAGCAACAGGCAAGACAGGGGGTGAACACTTTTAAAAATAAAACAGGAAACCAAAGACAGAAAAAGACAAGACAAAGCAAAACACAGACAGATCGTGACACTCAGCTCGAGATACCAGCGAGTCGTTTCCCATCAAGCATTTCACTTCCGCAGCCCGTGGAGAGGAACTGCGCCGCCTCGCCGCGCCTCGCTCTCAAGTCTGCGGGCCTCTTTGTACCGCGAGATTTAAATGTCTCATGTAGGCGAGCCTCCAGAGCAAGTCGGTTATGGCTAGAAAGGATCCGTCTTGTGTAAAACTCACGAGAGTTTGCAATTCACGCGGCTGAATGTTTACGTTTGGCAGGAAGCGTTTCAGTTAGGATCGTTAACATCAGTGGGCCACCACAGCAAATGATGTGGAGAAGCTAAACAATCTATTAATTATGTAAATGACAGGGAGTGTGATTGTTGAAATAGGGTGTTAGCGGTCTTGCTGTTCAAAGAAGAATGACAACACTGGATCACCAACCACTATGGTTTATTTTTTATTCACAGGCAAGTCAATGTTGTCGCAGTTAAAAGTCCCAAGATAGCTCCTGGTGCAACATGAAATGTTCCCTTTCAGTGTTTTTACTATTATGTCAGATATTTCTCTATTAATATTGCTGCTGCATTCATTATTGTGTATGTTGCATCATGTGCTTGTTGGAGCACACCAAATGAGTGGTTTGGTGAAGGTTCACCTCTGCTCCGCGCGTCCCTTGATGACTGACGAGCTGATTAAATTATTAACAGAAGGAATTCAAAGCACCAGATAAAGTTATTAACAAATAATCTGTGTTAAATGGTAGAAAACAACCAATAATAATACAGAGCACTCTTGCAACAGTACAAAGATACAGAGTACTCCGGGCTCATTTCCACCGCCTGTGTGATAATGCATATCACGACAGCCAGTCAGAAAAGGCGCTGATCATCAGAATATCATAATATTTAATACACGTTGGGAAGAGAGTTGGTGTTGGTTGCTCCTCCCCTACAGTCAATCTTATTGGGAGATACAAAACGATGGCCGCAGCAGCGAATCAGCGCGAGCCCTGCACACACACACACATTCTGCATAGACTTCTCTTCTCTCCGGCCCCTCCCCTCAGTTTAATACACATATAGTTTCACCATACTTTTGGTATCTTAAAGATATGTTTACGACATAGTTGTTTAATAGTTGGCGCCAATCAAGTAATACATGTAAGTTATTTAGATCACACACATATTTTTAGAACAGATACTTGACATGCTGTGGTCTACTAAATAAGGATGTCTCCTCTCCCACACTCTCTAGGTCTCCTGTCATGCAAACTGCTCCTACTTCATACGAGTAATTAAGCACACACTATGTTTAAGCCAACTACTCCACAATGTTGGTGGCAATTAGATACTCACAACATGAAGGAATAAAACAGAGAAAATCAATAAAACAGCAAACACAAGTAATAGTTGAGCAGTATCATACAGCACATTATAGGCCCACGGCAATGAACACATACACATCTTATCATGCAGTCCCACCACACAAAAAGTCCACGTTCAGTCACATGTTTTCCGGTCTGAAGCATACGTGTATATGTATTTAAACGTCACCGTCTCATGAACCTCCAATAGGATTAGTTAACTAACACAAAGGTTAAGTGCTTCCTTATGCTACCCTAAAGGACTTTCTCTGAACTTCCCTCACAACCTGGAAGTTCCGCTCACAATAACATGAATACTATCTATTGATACAATCAGAAGGACCATTGTCTCTCTTAACAGTGTGTGAACCCAATGTCTCATGCCTGTCCCAATATCTGGAACTTTAATCATAAGTATAGTTATATATTGAGAAGGTCCCAAGAATTGACAAAACATTCTCCTTTTTTTAATTTAGCTTCCAGATCCATACAAAAAACTCTTACAGACAACCTACTGAGTCTGCCCTTGAAAGCCCAAAATGACTTCCTGAAAAATACTTATCAACGGGTAATCATTTTACCTCAAGGAAGAATCACAGGTTGTACTGTACCTTACAAATACTCACAAATAGCCAAAAAAACACCTTTTGATTATAACACAAAAGTGGAAGAAAAGACCATTGCGCTAATCTACTTCTACTATAAAATGGGACATTATTTTAGGAATTGAAAGCAAATTCTAGAACCTGAAGGCAGGAGAGACTGAAAAGAGTCCAAGGGAAGCTTATAAAAATTAACAGCATTTAATTACACAAAGATCGGTGGTGTACAACAATGAAATGTGCGAGTGGAGGCGCTCCCTCATCCAGCGACCGGTCAGGTTCAGGTCAGTGGGGTAGAAGAGATCAATTCTTGGCTTGGCTCTTCCTGTTGTCATCGAGGTCTTCTCCTATTGCCGGCGTCGTCGGGGGGCGGGTCCAATGCAATTCCTGCCTTTTTCTGTAGCTAATTGCATCATCTGGCGTCCTTGGGGTGGTTATTCTAAACATTCGCCTGCTACACCATTTATTCAGCGTCAATAATGAGTGCTAATCCCAGTGTGCTCCAGTGGGTACAATATCACATGTCATTTCACCTTGGTTCAAGGTTTGAAATCGTATGATTCCGCCAGATGCTAAAACTGGCTAACGGAAGTGACGATTTTCAGAATAAAAGTGTTAAGGCTAATAGTGAGGAACTTCCGGTTTTTCCAGAAATAAAAACTGATTTTAAATCAAATAGTGTACTTGTAATTCAAATTACGCCATAATCCAAACATTGATGTAATTTCTAACAGAATATATATAAAAAAAACTCTATAATTANACATATAACATTGCTGATCACCACTTTCATTGAATTTTGGATGAATTATTTGGTGGTCATTTTTGACCGGGAACACCATGGTAACCACGTTACAAAGTTGAATAATTCATCCAAAATTCAATGAAAGTGGTGATCAGCAATGTTATATGTTCAAATATCTACTGTGAAGGATATCATAAAGCCTTAATGCAATCGAATGTAAAACAAAAAAGTTATGATTGATGAAAGTAGTAAATCGGTCAGATTTTACCCAAAGACAACAGGAGGGTTAAATAGTAGCAGTGACTGGCCAGAAACTCATATTTAAAAATATGAGGGTTATTCAACTTGACAGTTTCTACTAAGAAATCATTTAATATAAACAAGTTCATGAACTCTGCAAATATGAAAACAGTTATCGTTACAAAAGATAAAAACTAGTTTGGAAAGTAAATTCAATACAGACGACTTGTGTAACTTGCAAGAATGTGTATTTTAATTATATAAAATACAACAAACTTCATTGTTTGCATGGCCATGAAAAAAAAATGATGAGCTCATCCGAGGTTCACATCACTCCACCTGTGCTGGGGAGCTCCCCATTGTGTCCATGCTCACCTACACCACCCAGTGTTCAGAAGAATATTACAACAGATTGACAAATCCTACATACAGATATGATGACTGCAACACTTACACTAGCAGGAGTTACCTAATGCGTCTTTATACAAAATGGAAGAACAGCAGTTCATAAAACAGAAAGAGATTATCTGCACCATGAGGGTTGATTGTACTCTTGACAATGAGAAAGTAAAAAGTTATGCGAAAGCTAGTTAGCTAACAACGGCTATCAGCATGAAGTAACAGATTACATGTAATGGGATTACACAGTGGCGTCGCCTGGTCTGGGCATCCGGGGACTGTGGCCGGATCTCTAGATCAATAATTTTTCACAACATAATTAGTATTTTTTTTAAATGTCAGGATCTATTCGTCTGTCATACCAAGCATACGTTATAGCTCTCAGGAATAATATGACAGTACAAGTACTTTTGGGTCTCTGTTTGTCATTCAAGTGTGTGTGTGTGTGTGTGTGTGTGTGTGTGTGTGTGTGTGTGTGTGTGTGTGTGTGTGTGTGTGTGTGTGTGTGTGTGTGTGTGTGTGTGTGTGTGTGTGTGTGTGTGTGTGTGGTGTGTGTTTTGTGTG